GTCTTGAAAAAACTCATTTAATTCATGACAGAGTATATAGGGAGGAATAGAGTGTTCAAAGTGTAAATTTTAAATAAAAAGTAGAGTGATTGTGATACAGTAAAGTGCTAGAATAGAGTGAAGCGAAGATTTGAAGCCTTGGGGGGCAATGACAAAACTGTTTTCTAGTGAAGCTCAGAAAGACAGATGAAGAAGACTTTTGCCTTTGAATAACTCATCCTTAAAATGACATCCCTAAACTCATGGCCCATACACACCTCAGAGTGATGTGAAATGGGAGGAGTGAGCTCTGATAACAGCAGTTCTGGGCAGCTGACATCAGGGCAATAGAAAAGTATAACAGAAGTCATTTTCTTGTGAGAAACTCCATAAATTAACAGAAAGAGACTTCTGTTTCTCTACAAAGACTGATGAAAAGACTGTAGCAGGAATTGGGACTGTTTTAACCATCAAAGTTCCAAAGTTTTTGTCTCTGTTGTCATGTGAACAAGGGAATGGTGGGTAGTAAGGGATAAAAAGGGTTTTCTGGGAGTTTATTCTGGTATTTTTATTATTGTAGTTTGTTAATAAACTTTCTTTATTCCTTTTAAGTTTTATGCCTGTTTTGCTCTTGTTCTAATCCATATCTCACAGCAAGAAATAAGTAATTTTTTTAGTTACTAGTTTAAAATTTAGTTACTAGTTTAAAACCACAACAACTACTGAATATACTTAAAAACGCCCTTGAGTTCCCTGGTTCAGTACATCTGCTTTAGGGGCCTAATTACAAAGAATGTAAGAGCAGAGTGAAGCAATTTTTCTGTGATTTCTGTAGTTCCACCCAGACTTCAAATTTATTATTTAAAATTACCGATTTGTCATTTAAGCCCAAAATACTGCTAATAGCAGATTATACATATAATTGCTCTAACAGGTCTAACTCCCACACAGTGAACACTGCAACACAGAATGGGAACCCTGGGGAAACTTGATTCCCAGGCAGGAAAGTTTAGACTGTGAAGCTGCACAAAGAAAGAGAATAACCAATCATTTGAACATGGAATAATATTTTCTCCCAACAAAAGTCTACTTAGAGAGTTGCCTACTGGAATGAGGTAGGGGATTAACCTATATGCCCTAAATTCCTACTTTGGCATGGCTCTTTTTTTCATTAGCTTGCTGTCAGTGTGGAAATTCAGGGCACCAATAAGCAGAACCAAAATGATCCAAATTGTCCTAGGGATTTTCTACCATGCTGATTCTGAACATTCCCAATTGTTTTCATGTTTAACCTTGCTTTTACAGCATGCAGTTAAAGGTAGTTACCTGTCGTGGTTTTAAACCAGTAACTAAAAAATTACTTATTTCTTGCTGTGAGATATGGATTAGAACAAGAGCAAAACAGGCTTAAAACTTAAAAAGGAACAAAGAAAGTTTATTAACAAACTACAAGAATAAGAACACCAGAACAAACTTCCAGAAAACCCTTTTTATCCCCCACTACCTACCATTCTTTTGTTCACATGACAACATAGAGACAAAAACTTTGGAACTTTGGTGGTTAAAACAGTCCTAATTCCTGCTACAGTCTTTTCATCAGTCTTTGTAGAGAAACAGAAGTTTTCTTCCACTAATCTATGGAGTTTTCCACAAGAAAGCTATTTCTTGCTATAGAATTCTATTTTCCTGATGCCAGCTGCCCTGAAATCTGTCATCAGAGTTTACTCCTCCCATTTCACATCACTCTGAGGTGTGTACGGGCCATGAGTTTAGGGATGTCATTTTAAGGATGAGTTATTCAAAAGCAAAAGTCTTCTTCATCTGTCTTTCTGAGCTCTACTGGAAAACAGTTTTGTCATTGCCCCCCAAGGCTTCAAATTTTCGCTTTACTCTGTTCTAGCACTTCACTGTATCACAATTACTCTACTTTTTACTCAAAATTTACACTTTGAACACTCTATTCCTCCCTATATACTCTGTCATGAAGTAAATGAGTTTTTTCAAGACCTTATTGTCCATCTCCATAGCTTTAACAGAAAAATATTTCAGCTTATAAAGCATCTCCTTATTCTTCACCTTCTCTGAAGCTTAATTCTTTTCATTACTGTCTCTGATAGTTTATAAAGTCTCTTTACATGTTGATTACTCTCTCTTTCTTTCTCTGGATAAAAAAAGATTAATCTGCAGTTGTCATCTGGGTAATGAAAAGGTTAAAATCTTGCCCAGGCTTTGAAGATGGTTCTGTGATCTCTGCCAGAGCAGCAGCGGGAGTTGTCTGCGTTGGAAGATTCTTCATGGCTGCTCTGGAAAGTGTGGTCACTGTCTCAGCCTGCTGCAGGTCAAGAGCTTTTTTTCTTTCTTTCCTCAGCAGTCTGTGGTGAATTCAGTCCCAGCAAAAACTGCAGCCGAGCCAGGGACCGGCCTGGCCCAGAGCCCGGGGCAAGCCCCGCAGGGCCCATCTCCCGGCTGGGAGCCTCAGCAGGCCCAGCCCAGCCCCTGCCCGGGCCACATGGCCTGGGCAGAGAACGAGCGGCCAGCTGGAGCTCTGTTACCTTTCACAGCCAGAAAACAAAGAGGACAAGAGATCCCTGACTTTACATCTTAAGGTAGGGTTCACAAGTTGATCTCACTTTTCAATGGTCAAAACTGCTGTCAATTCTTAGAAATGACTGATAATTGGTCAGGAGGAAAGACTCCCATCAGTCCCCAGCAACTTCAACTTCCTTAGCTCCCAAAGCTATCTTAAAGGTAAAGCCACCCCATGACATTACCTTTCTGTTTTTGTTACCATGCCTCTTAAATAAGCACATGCCTTCATAGCTTCCCTATCTATTTCCTACTGCCTTCTGTTCTAATTACCTGTCCTCTACCACTCCCGCAACACTATACACTTAAAAAAAAAAAAATGTAGCAAATGAGAATTATACAGTTAAATTATACTACTCTTAAAATCTTAGCATAGAATCCTGGTTGTAAAAAGCCATCCTGGACAACTCTACTTAGACTGTTTTCCTCTGTGCAAAACCATTCCCTTAAGAATTATTTCTACTAATCTTTTTTTCCACCCTGGAAAAATGTAATTTCAAAAAATATTATGAGAATAACTGCAAAACTATTCATAGTTATTACATACAGTATGGAAAAAGGAATATCTGCACTTGAATCTACAGTTATCTATGGCAGCACCTGAGTTACTACAGCCTTTCCCTCCGTGCACCACAATTGCCATAGTTCAAGGTTAT